CTTTGTCTTCTCATAGCAGGCAGGGTCAAATACACACAAGAAAAATACATGGTGCATTTCAGAATACTCTTCATCCAACACGTGTTGCTGTCATTAACCCTCTTTTGTGCCTGAGTGAGCGGGCTGAATTGGTCCATTTGTACCAGAGTCCCTGTTCACATAAGCCAGGGTTAGGATTTGTCCTTAGCCACCTAAATTTGTCCAAAACAGAGGATGTGACGCACAGGCTTTCTGTGTTTTGCGCATAGCAATTCTGTTTCCTTTTGCTGCCCCAGGGACTTCCACTTCATGGAAATGCAAATTACTCTACACAGACAGGCTTTAGAGCTTAGTAAGTGACTCTATGAAGAGGGAAGGGAAAATAGGCTGAACTGCAGGCAAAAGCTCCTTGATATTAGGATGCATTTGGCTGGAAAAATTCCCTCCTGTGAGAAACTGCAGAGAAATCTCATCACATGGAGCGTTAAAAGCCCAGGAACAGCAAATCCAGCGCTAGTCCCTAAGGAAAGCCTGGAAGAAAAGTATCAGCAAGAAATGGAGCCCAGCCGAAAGCCAGAGAAGCTGCTCCTTTGTTCCTTTGTGAGGGCAGCTTGAACGGGGCCAAGAGGCCAAAGGAAAGCTAACAGGAGTGCAGAGTATCTGAGCCCTTCTGAGCCCTCCTTGCACTCCTCCCCCTTAACAGAAGGGCACTTTATGACAACTGGTACTATGTCACCCTCCCCAGCACATTTGTATCTTTCCAATCCCACTCTCATATCCTTATCAGAAGCATTTTTTGGAGTTTAATTGTTCACATTATGCTTACGTTTACCTTTTTCTTCCCACTCCTCTATCTAGTTTATCTAACTATAAAAAACAGGATACCACCATGCTCAACCCAAATGACCTATTGCTCGCTCCTGCTTTCTATGCCATGATGCAACCACAGCCATTGCACTTGCAAAGGCAGTATTGCTGTATAGAAGTAGCCCTGAAACTGGTTGAGGGTTGAAATGATACTTAGGAACTACCAGAGAAGATCTGGCTGAGGACTGGCTACAGCCAGCAAAGCCCTCTACAGCTAAGGCTGGAATATAATGGAGCCTGGATCAATATCCACCCATGGGAAGCTGTGATAGGGACTGTGTCTTGCCTCAACAACAGAGATCTGTCCCTGTGATTTTCTCAGCTATAAATAGATATTTTCTTCACTAGAAATCAAGGGAATGACTGCAAGTAGAAACTCACTTCAAGTTCCAGGGTTAACATTAGCTTTTTGGTTTTATTTTTGGTTTGTTTCTTTTTCAAAAATCTCTGTCCTGACTCTGATTCAAGTGCTTTTAAAACACCACCATACATTTCTTCATTCCCATCCCTACCTTAGCATTCCCAGACATTGAGACTGAAACAGAGCTACCCTCAGTAGCCTGCTTTCAGTTCCTGCCCTACTCTTACACATTCCAGCTGTCCACAGATACTCAAAGACCACTTGCCAGGTGTTTTAATCATAAATTCCATGTTCAATGTCATATTTTATGCAGAGAACAAGCCTTGGATTGATTTAGTCAAGGGATACTACCAAGCAATCAAAAAGCCAAATGGGGCCAATGTGAATCTCTTTCCTCCAGTCGAGTATGATGGTTCCCTATCCTAGAAAGTGCTACCACGCTTTCAGCCTATCGAAAAATGCCACTTATTCACTTCAGGCCCATTTCTCCCTTCTTACACGTACACAAATCCACAAAACTCCCAACGGATATCTGCATGAGAAAAGAATAAAACCATGTCACAGAGCTGAAGAATTTTCTCTAAAAGAAACAAAATTTTCTCACTGATAACCCTTCATTCAGATGTTTAAAAGTATCACCAAATGCCATGGCTTCTTTTTTGAAAGCAGTATGTAACCCTTTCTTTCAACAGCAACAGAAGTACATAGCAGGCTTGTGGTTAAAGCCTTGCTTCCTCCAAGAAGCATGTTAAGACTCAAAATTATCTCCTTTACAACAGCATATATTTATTTAGACATAGTATACTATCAGCCCAGCACTAATTACGCTGACTTTATTCAGACATGAAAAAAAAAGCCATAAGAAAGAAACATCATGGTGGTGATTGGCTGTAAACTTACACGTCTCTGATGATCTGCAGTCCAAAATATTTAGGCATCTGATTTAGACTGAACTTCTGACCCTTATCCAAATGTTAGTTGCCTACCTACTCATGCAATAGCTCTTTGCATGCCACCCTGAAGAAAAGGTCATTTGCATGTTTTTCTTATGCAAGACACAGAGCAGACAACCTACTGTTTTTTGACACGGCTCCCTTGTGCTCTGTGTTTTTATTCTATTTTTACACGGATGTTCTTAAAATGCAGAAAACAGGAAATTTGTGCTGAGACCACTGATTTATGAACTAAAATGTTATAAATTCCTTGTTTGTTAATCATAGGCAGAACATAAAATATTTCCTGTATTATATTTCTAACAATTTTTTTTTCTTCACATGTTGCCAAGTTACTGGAAATTTAAATGTAGAGTGAAAACATCCTTGCATGTGTGTGAAAGTTTACATTCTAGGTCAGCCATACAGTCTGGCTGTTGGACTTTGTGACAAAGTAAACACATCAATGCGCCATTCAGATTGGAGACAAATTACTCATTCCATTGTAAGCCTGAGGACAGCCTGCAGACCAGAAACATAAACGTTCATAATTCTATTTGGTTGTCTCCTGACTGGCTTTAAGGTGCAAAGTCCACTGCAGAATAGCTTCCAGCCTGCAAATAAAGGCAGGGTAGAGTAAAATGGGTTATGTTATATGCACCAGAACTACAAAACTACTGTCTTTCCATAAATACATCTGAGCAAGTGTTTTGCTCTAAAAGACAAGCAGTAACACATCCATGACTTTGAGCTTCCATAAAGCATTGCCTCCTGGAGTTTTGTGGCTAAACACCAAATTACCCAATTCCAAAATGCAGACTGATATTCTTCACATGACAGGAAGAGCTGTGGCAGGTGTTCTGCTACAGCTGAGCAGTCCCAGTCCACCTTGGCAGGATAATCTGCGTTGGTTATCCTTTCTAATGTTCTCATAGGAAGCAAAAGCAACTCCTCCAAACAAACTGTCTTAGTTCTAAATGCTTAAGTGAAGATAATGGTGATAAAAAGTGGCTCCATAAGCATCCTCACTGAGTTGAAGTCTTCAGCATCTGACCCCCTGGTAGAGCATGTACAAAGGCAACACAGCTTTCTCCTGTATTGCTCAGTTCTCTCTCTCCTAATCAAAGCATGGAATCAGTTCAGCTATTTGGCTCACTTCACCTTTGGTCTCCTTGGAAAGACACCCAAAAGCACAGTAATTGCTACTGTGATGTTTACACTTCTCTGCTACAAAAAAAGAACATCCCTGCAAATGGTTTTCACTTGGGCAACTGCCTAGGCATTACACAGTGAATTACTATTGACCTACGGGTCAAAATTAATATCCATAACCTCAAGGAGAGAGAGCTTCCAATGTAATTTTAGCTCTTTGACAGCCATTCAGTCGACTCTCCTGTATGGTATCGGGAAGGCAGAAGAAATATACCTTCAAACAAGATACTTCTTAATATCAGCTGAGCTTTAGATGACTTTTTTTTTTCCTCAAGTTGGTGTGATGCTGTCTGTCAAAGACCTTGCTGCCTTTTTCTTGGCATACTCGAGGTAATGCTGAACAACAGTTCCTACTGGTTTTAAAAGAAGCTTCTAGTAGTGAAAGGCTATGAAAACATCAATCCATGTACACATAAATTCTTCTTCACTTGGACCTCGCCCTGGGGACATGCTTGTGTGGAGATGCTGTACAACATATAAATATAGCTTTCAAGACTTTGTGTGTGCAGGGATTATAGAGGAGGACACTCAGTAGCACCATCCAGGCTTTCATCAATAGACAGTCACTTTGTAGGAGACAGGCCTGGCAATCTCAACTCACACAAAACAAGAAAGAAGTTATTATTGAAATGTACTGGAATGTGATCACTTCCAAATAAGGCAAAATAATGTAATAAAACAATCTTATTACATGAACCAATCAGATAAAGAGTGAAAAAAAACATCCCTTTACTGAACAAAAAGGGACTACATTTCCCTGTGCACTATCATCTCTGTGCTCTACACAATTGCTAAATTTACAAACCTGCTTTCTTTTCTTTGTCACAGCAGGTTTGGAATTTGAATCTTGATGTGTTGCTGTCCTGTGGGCACTTGCTTTCTCAATAGCTTCATCATCTGAATGATCTAATGAGAAAAAAGAAGAGGTTTTGTTACTGTTTTTCAAATCTATCTACTATCTTGCATCCAAAAATACGGATAAAATCTTCAGCTGAAAGGTTGTCACAATAATACAATCTAAAGATTAGCAATAATTACAGCTGTAACACATTTTTTTAATCATTTCAGAAGACTGGTATTTGAAATTTATTATAAGAAAAGTCCCAGGTTTCCCCTCCTCTTCACAGGATTACATCTGGCAGGCAATGTATTTCTTTATCTTTCTGGAATGCTGCACAGTGGGTGCCAGCTGCAGCATCACAGGCAGGAATACATCTTTCAAAAACCTTCCTTGAATTAAGCTAAGCAGTGAACAATGAAAGACGTTTTTGATAATCTATGTCTCAAGCTGCATGACATCTCTCCGTGTTACTTCAGAACAAGTAAAACATAATCTTGGATCTGTAGCACTGCATTCACCATATATAATTACAGACCTATCTCATTAGACCCCAAAACAAGCAATAGCACTGGTACTGAAGACTAATGGCACTATGGCCCATGGGATCGCTGTAAAAATACATCTTTCTTACTAAGTTTTCTGATACTTCTTTCAGAATAAGTCATCTCCTACTAAAACAAGTCTTGCAGATGAAAGAAGAAAAAAAATAGATCAAACCAAACACACACAAAAATCACCCTAGCTTCCATCTAAAAGCCCCAAACGCCTTACTTACCAATTACCTAGACGAGGAAAAACTACGAGATTGGTATAATGTCCTATTGTATAAAAATACATGCAGACATTTTCTGTGAGTACATTTTAATTGTGTGTTTCTTACTTCAGTAATAATTAGGCAAAGGCACCATTCCTAAAGTTTAAGCAGAATGTCCACGAGACTAAAAAAGGCTTATATTTGGAAAGAAAACTATTTAAATTAAGAAGTTTCTACTCATCTCTTCTTCATCTCTCTTATCTTCAGAGAGACTTGGGGGGAAAAAAACATATCCACAGCAACAGTTCGCACTAATAGTGCTATGCTAGTGCTTAAGATGTATTCAAACACACAAGTTTCTGCTTGGGACTGAATTACTTCCCTGATCATTGCCAGAAGCATTATCATCCATTCAACTTGATAATTAGAACTGAATAATTCAATTTCTATCTCTGGAATATTTCCGCCCAACAGGTACTTAATCATTGTTGCAATCTCCTGTATTCTGAAGTTGTAGATTCACAGCTTCAAGAATAAGTTATTTATTTTGAATAAAGAGGAACAATACGATTTCTTAAGCATCATCCCAAGCATGGACAATATAACTGCATCTATGCAATCACTAGCTGTGAGCAGAGTAAACTGAGGGCCTGACAACATGAGAGAGAAAAATCAGCTATGGGTGGTATTTACTAATTCCATGTTGAAATAGGTACCTATTGAAAAAAAGGTTAGTGAAAGGATATGTGAAAGATATGTCAAAGAATTTAAGTGAACAGTAAGTAAAAAGATATGAAGGGGAAAAAGGAATCTTTATTCATCCACAGATGCAACATTATATATTATATGGCAATAAGGCAGTGGCTTTGAAAATCCTAATGAGACAGAATGGGTAACAAAATGGGTACTTATTTATGCCTGGAAAGAGATATGATCTCTTGTAACTTCCACTCCTTTTCCCACATTGAAAAGCTTGTGTAATAGTCAGCATCCTAAAGTTGGGTTGTGACAGCTGTTAAGAATTCAAAAAAGTTTGGGAAGTTGAAAGCTAGCAAGTGAAGAAAATCAGTGAATGTTTTAGCAGGTTGGAAGTCATTTGTCAGGAAATCTTACTTGATATAAATTAGATTCTTAGCAAACCACAAGAGCTTTAGAAACACAGCAGCAACTGAGAAGAGAATTTGTCTTCTGTCCGGTACAACTAAGAGATTCTTAAGTGAAGGGGTTAAACAAACCTGTTAATGAACTTAATTCAGACCAAAACAAAGGCCATGGAAGAAATGGCAGCACTTGTTTGCATCTCAACACAGGATGAAGACATATTCTGAAACCTTAAATCGGAATCCACCATGAAAAGCCCTCCGCTTTCCAGATTTAGAGCAAATGCACAAATATGTGTACCAAGTGGACGTTGCAGCTCAGCTGGCCTATTCGCTTCCTTCTCTTTGCAGATACAGCCATCAAATCAGCAGCTGAATAGACTGTGGCCACATGAGTGCTCGATCCCATGTGGGGTGAGTGGACGGTGGCAAGGGAAGAGCAGGGATGTCACTCCTGGCAGCCCTTTACCATTGTCTAGGTGTAACATTAGAGCTGCACCTTAAGCTGGTGCCAAGTCAACCTCAGAAAACACTAGATGGCCGGCCATTCTGCAATCTATTCTCAAAGGACATGAGCAAGGGAGGTGATAAGTCTAAATCTCAGGCTTACTTGTGCACTAGGAAATATATGGCACTGCGCTCCATGCGTTACCCTCATGAGCTATTTTCCCTGTCTTCTGAGGGACAAACTGAATCCAGCTGACTCTTCTGAGCTGCCATTTGGATCATGAACAAGAAGAATGAGCAGCGGCCCCCAGTACGAATGCCACTTTTGCTACAACGTCACTGTTACTGTCCCAAAAGTGTTCATCAGACAGTGGCTGAAGGTAAAAAGTTTATTGGCCACCAGAAGTAAAAAGGAGACAGTATTCCAAGGACAACTTTTTGTCTTTTAATTACATCATCAATGGCCATATGGGTTTACTTTATTATAAATTTATTATTAATGCACAAAAAATATATCTAGTCCTGTACAGCCTAACACATGGCAGAGGAAGAGGAAGAGAGAAAGCTGAAGGTTTGGGAGACTAACAAATTTCTTTCTTATATTACAGCTCAAATATCTGTGTCAATCTACTGGGTTCTTCTTTTCTGTTCTCCTGAGGACGTCTGAGTGCTCCTGCACCATATGCCTGCCCTTGCACAGCAACAGATGCTTCCCTGGCGTATTCCTCTCCAAAGTCACTGACTCACAGTCCTCTGGCCACTCTGGAATCTCAGATATGATACTTCATGAGAAGAAGCTGAAAAATTACACCATCCAGCATACTCCTGAAAGTTTAGAAGGTGTCTTGGTGACTCGTTACCACTGTGCATTACCCTGGGCTTATTTCCCTCTGTATCACCCTTCCCCTGGCAAATTTCTTGTGCTGCATTTTGGTAGAGCAGCTTCTGTGTTTGAGAACCCATCACTGACTTTTGTCTCTTCCGCCTCGACTCCAGAGATACTGGAGGAGTGACCAGCTTTTATACACACCAACTCCACACCCCTGGGGTCCTGGATGCACCACATCCAAGCAGGCTGTGAAGCGATGATATAATTGAAGTACATCAAAGAAATCTGAGCTAATACTTTGTCCCTCTTGCTCACCGTACTTGAGCCCCAAACACCCATTCGAGAGTGTATCTGTGCAGCTCATTGCAGGGGGGGTTGGACTAGATGACCTTTAAATGTCCCTTGCAACCCAAACTATTCTATGATTCTATGTCTCACTGAATTGAATTGCTGACCCATCTCTTTCTCAGCATATTTACTTCATGTTGGAAATAAATGAGAGTTGCATAAAATAGATTCAGGGGAAGCTGCCTGTGGTCTTTAAGCATTCCTTCTTAAATCCCACTTGGCGTGCTCTGAAAGGCAAACAGGAGTCACCTAAGTTTTAAATAACCTCTTCTCTTTCTCACAACTAAAAGACACACTGCTAGCAATAGCAATCTAAAACTGGACAAATGGTTTCTATGATCTGAAATAGCCTTACAAACAACGTACCACCTGTTCGCTGCCCATCTGAGCTTTGGACTGCACTTCGTCATGCAATGTCCTCCGCTTTCAGCAAGAAGCAAGAGAAGAGGGAACCAATGTCCAGCCCCAGACTCAACAAACATCTGTGGAAACAGTTCAAATTTGAGCACCTTTCTGCAGCACCTGAATACCTTTATTTCTTTTTATCTGTTCCAGAAACAGCCACCCGATGTCCCAGTGGAGGCAGCAGCTGGTTTGAGCTGTGACTGCTTGTGACACCATGTCAGCTCCCATGACAACAGGAGCGTTTTGTCGTGGGCATCAAAGTACCACAGGCCAGACTGTGCCAACCATGCTCACATTAAACAGTGTACCTTCCTCTGCAAATAGTTACCTTGATGTCAGCGGAGTTATTCATAAAATAAATCATAACTTGATGCAAATAAACGCAGAAGCACCCAGCTCACAGATCGCAAACACACTGTATCAGAGCAGCATTGCTTGCCCTGCTTTTGAGGTGTCACGCCCAGGAGACTCCTCTCCGCCAGAACAGGAGAGAGCACAAATCCTTCCTTATTATTAAGCTGGCACAAATGCAGAACCTAATTGATGAATACAATGTTGACTTTCATCTCCCTAGTGGTGCAAATGAGTGGGCAGGCAGGCGCTGACGGAATACACTGCGGAAGGGGGGATGCTGTTCAGCGCAGCAATCCTCTGCATCTACTTTCCCGCGATGTTATGGACCTTATGCAACCACAAGGTCATTAAAGACATCTGAACAGCCACGTAATGCTCCCGATATAGAAAAATAGATGTGAATTCCACAGCTCTTCACGGTTTTTCATCTGGTATTACATCAGCAGCACGGCACATACTAACGGGCTTCCCAGTCATTAAGTATTTATATTTGATTTTGTTTTGAACCATGCCGAAATGGAAAACGCCATTTATGCTTCACACACACACATATGAATAAGACTTTCTCACTTATGATATTGATCACTATTTAAAATCCTTCAGTGCAATGGTTTCTAAGTTTTTTCAAATTTAATATTCAAACATACATGCCTAAGTACATCAGTATGTGTACTAAATATACACATACACATGCCTACATTAATACATACACACGTCTGCATGTTTATACACATGCACATAAATAAATAAGCACACAGATAATTTAACAGGTTCCCTTTAACCATCACTCTTATTAACTAATACAGACACAAAGAATGCACATTTGCT